TTTTTCAAATCATGATCATTTTTTATACCAATCTATTACAACATTTAGAACATTCTTGCTTTGTTATGTTTTCCCAGAGATTTAGAATTTCGATTGTATCTATTGTAAAACAATGTTAAAAAAATAACAACAACAACAACGATATTTTATCATTTGTAGTTCAAAACTAAATAAATGAATCGAAGGACATGTAAATCACATTTTTTTAAGAAACAAAATGTTTCATACTTAAATTGATTTGTGCATATCTAAATTTCATTTTGCATTGATCTTGTGTATATCTCTTTTAAATAAGGCAATAATTTTTTTTTTTGCCTTGAATTCATAATGTATAATTTTTTTTTTTTATGTGGAAATCGTATCTTTTGTATATGTAAAGGATAAGTTTGAATGCTAATATTGTATCCTGAAAATTTAAACGCTATTTATTCAAAGAAATTTTGTTACGTTTTGCAAGGAAATGGTCGAACTATTGTATTTATTTATATCGCACTTTTATAGCCTATTCTTATAAAAAAATATAAAAATAAAATTGTTACTATAATGTTTCCAATTCCATTGCAGTTTTAAGTTTTGGTTGTAAAAAAATAAAAATAAAAAGGTATATGTACTGTCTAGAATTAGAATATTAAGACTTCATTTTTTAATCGGTGATTTTAAAAAAATTTGCTAGAAAAGAAAAAAATACACTCAACAAAATCGTTATCATAAAATAATAGGTTACGATATCACTAGAATGGTTTGGTTTTAAATATATTCGAAATATACACAATACATAATCCAAGAATATTTTTCTTATAATAAAAACCGAGAATATGGCATGACAATCACCAATGAATTATGGCAATGAATTTAATGCTACTTTTTAATTTTATTTAAAAACACTTAAAAAGAATATAAACTTACTTTTTTGTAGTATCTAATTAATGATATTGGTAGGAAAATATTTCTGAAAATGATTTAACATTATTCTTATTTTCTATAGATAAATTAGATATACACTGTTGTAGAGAAGACACTATTAACCTAATGTTATTTTTTTTTTCTCAATAATTCCTTGCACAAAATTTAAATATAAAATATTTACTATTACATATTTTTTTAATGAAAACCATTTAATCACTTACATATTTCAAACTATCAATTATTATCAATTAATATTTTATTATATTTGTATCGTATATATTTATTTTTTATTTTATATCAATTCTCAACTAAAACATGCTTATAAAAACTTTTTTCAATCCTTCTATTTCAATTTCCATTCTTTTTTTTATTTGTATGTAAAAAAAATTACATACAAAAAAAAAAGAAAAATAAAAGCTCCTAACAGAAGAATAACACATATTCCCAATAGGAGAATAATACGCTCCTCCAAAGGACAAAAAACAAAACACAAGTCACAGACAAAGCAAACACTAACAAAACATCAAAATACACAAACACAACCTAAAAAGATAAAAAAGGATAAAACTTTTCTCACGGCTGGGAACACGCCAAGCAACCACGAC